GTATGTCTCAACAAAACAAAGAAAACAAACACTTTGTCATTTTGGCGTGCCGCACATCTCGGTCGTCGCCTCAAAAGTGTGTGGCGACAAGCTGCGATGTGTCCGTCTCCCGTCTCTGTCGCCTGCCTCGGTCGCTTGTCTCTGTCGCGTGCAGCCAAATTGTACCTTAAAGATAGTTACTAATAGTCTGTTTAATGAATATCCATGTTATTGTTTTTTTGACATGAGGGATTTGCTGGCAGAGCTGCTATAGACAGCATGCATTCTCCAGGATTTATGAAGCAGATGTATTTGCATCCCTGGAACCTCTACCAGCCTTTAACCTCCTCCTGTATCATTACTGCTTAAAATATATGTATACATTTTGGCTAGGTCTGTATTTACATGAGTATCATTTATGGGAAATGGTCTGCCTTAGTGCAGTCTCTGCCATACATTTACATTCAAACCACTGTTTATTTAATTGCTGGGAATTTTAAAGGATTTATTAATTTTTATGCTATCTTGGAAAAGAAAATTGTGCATTTGTTAAAAAAAGGGCAATTTAACATCATATTTACTAGGCCTCGAGTGTGATTTATTGTTTGTAGCAGGGCACAAATTTCTCATTTTCTCTTAATGCCCATAATAATAATAATAATCTGTGGCATAACAGCCCTCTGAGAGCCAAAGTCGACTAGCTGGCTGCTGGCCTCACGTTCACATACCTGAGCAGAAGTGAACGATCATCCAACCAGATATAGGGTGACGTGTGGTCAGCACGATGAACCCCCAGCCATTGCTAGTTTCCATGACCGGATTACGCTACACATTGTAGCTCCCCAATTTCCTCCTGATGCTGGGTTGGCACCAGTCCCATAAACCGGTAAAAAATCTTATGAGAAATTTCTTTCCCCGAGACTCAAACCAGCGCGCATTCCGTATCACCGGTCCGAAGCATGATGCCTCAGACCGCGCGGCGACAGCGCAGGACTCTTAATGCCCATCCCAATTTTATTTTGCTGTTCACTGCAGCATCTTGGAAACTGTGTCATAGTGTCTGAGTACAGACTGGACGATCAGGGTTTGATCTGCTGCGAGGGCAGACACTTCTTCTTCTAGCCTCTGCATCCAGACTGGCTCTGGGGCCCACCCAGTCTCCTATCCAGTGGATATCGATGATCCTTTCTCTGGGTGTAACTCCCGGCCGAGAAGAGGAGGTACAGCTGTTTCTTATTCTTGATCTTGGCATTAGATGTAGACAGCCCAGACCCCCAGCACCCATTTGATAGGCTGCATAGGCCCCGGAGCAGGTCTGGATGCAGAGGCTAGAAGACAAATCCTTTACCACCGCTGGGGATGAAACCCTGGTCAACCATTTTGTAGACAGACACTATACTGACTGAGCTACCCTGTCTCACATAAAAGTTTTAATAATATATCATATGTCTCTGGCTTCAGTTCTGATTTGGGATTCAGTCGGTATCTTTTTGATGCCAAAAATGTTCCATGAGAAAGTTTTGAAAATAGTATGATTAACATTTTTGTCAGTTCCGCTGTTGCTTTGATGTAGATCTGAAGAAGGTGATGTATATGCGGCTCCACTGCACAGTGTGTGGCTGTCACATTGGATGTGCACCTACAGCTGCCTTCATTATGGCCTCCCATAAATTTCTGCATGTGCTCATATGCATCGACTGTGAAGCATTTTACGAAAATGGTGGTTTTCCATGTGATGAAGATGGGAGTGAGACATTTTGTTGTTGGTGTGGACAGGGTGGGCAGCTGTTCTGCTGCAGTCTTTGTCCCAGTGTATTTTGTAAGGTCAGTGCAACATCTTATTTGAATTTGTTTGCTGCATGAATTGAACATTTTTCATTTATCTGAGTAATAATAGTTGAGTATGATTACACATTTCCTGCAAAATTTGGATCTTCTTATAGATGACGACAACATTTTTCATAGTTCCGGGCATCGCAATTTTGCTGTGAGGTCAAGTCAGACATATGAAGAAATATCGGTGCAAACAAAATATTTGAGGAGAGGCGTAACTCACACGAGAACAACATTTTCCTTTTAGTTAATATTGTGTCCACATTTCATATTACAGGACTGGAAAAGTGTAATTTATATTAAGAGTACAGTTTCCTCGTGCATTCTTTCCACCTTGGAATTCTAAACACTTAACTATTGCAGACTTCGATGAAGATATTAATGTCACATTCACGGACACAGCTGTAGTGTGTCGCATTCCATTATAAGTAGTTTCCATTAGTACTATCGATAAAACTCTTGGTTCAGAGACCAGTCATTCTGACTTAAGGTTTTCTGATGCATCTATATTTATGGTATGTGGAACATTCTTATATTGCACTCTTACCTGCTGTTCTACGTCAGCGATTAAATGCGAGTTGCACGGGTGAAGCAGAAATATCAAACTGGCTGTTTGTGTGGCGCTGTCCTAGGTTCCAGCGAAGCGGCCAAAGTCCGAGATCAGATATTTTGATATTTTTGTGCGAGTCGCTGCTCTGGCCAGTAGGCGCATGCGCAAGAAAGCTCTGACCGTGCAGTACACGGAAGGTGCATGCACAGGAAGGCCGTGTGCTTCTATTGCGGTCTCTCACGTAGGACATAACAAGCGATTCCACGCTTCATATGACACCCCATGCTGCTTATGCAGCTCGGGTAGCTCGCTTGTTATCGCTTACGTAGGACATTGCCTTAAGCTCTTCTGAAGTACTGCAGGTATGAGACAGGCACAGCTGTTTATCATAATTCCTTTGAATAAACTGTCTGCATAACTACTGGCCTTGGACAGGAAAGAATGCAGAATAATAACAGGGTTCTTAATATGTGAGGCAGGGTTCGTAGCGGGCTGTTGGTCTTTGAAGTGACACCTACATATCATGTGCCTCTCAGAAAATGCCTAGTACATGTGAACAGGAGGAACCTTGATATCATATACTCTTGTCAATGCCCAGTGCTGGCTGGACATCTGTGGCTCAGCATGGCTAAAGCCAGTAGATAAAGGGACTTCAGTTTGGAGCTGGGGTGCACATTAGACCCAGCTCTGGTCTCAAGACTTCAGTTTGGAGCTGGGGTGCACATTGGACCAAGCTCTGGTCTCAGTGCTGTGGTGACTGGAGTAGTCCCCCAAAGATCAGTTCCACGAGACCAAGAGACTAGAATTTGTATCATTTCATCATTCCTTTACTCATTCTTTCTCCCGTGGTTGTAAGACAAACGCCAGGAAGACAAACATGTGGTCTGTATGAGAAGGAATTGCATCTCGGGTCGCAAGCAACACACTTGCAGTGCTGTGCTTTGCAGTAATTAAGGTTAGAAATGTCTAATGGTGACAACTGAAATTAGAGCCACTGAGCTGTTGAACATTGGAAAGTTCATGTTGATATTTTGTTTAGTTAGGCCAGTTTTTAAAGTCTTTGGTATCATGGCTAAATGAGACAGATACTACTGGCACGACACTGGATTATTAGTGTTAAAAGTTTGATGGAAACAGGAGTACATTTTGACAAATAAATATGGTAAATATATTTTAAAGGAAGTTGTGTCATTGAAACTTCTTAAACAGGTATTACGTTTTTTGTAGCTTGAGAGAATTTGTCATAATTTATTTATCTTCATTCTGTACCAATGTAGTATGTCCCACATTTGGGTAGCTAACAAGGTTCAAATTACGTAATTTCAGAAATGCATTCGTCGCAACTTGGGTCAGAAGACTGTGCAAATGATACAAAAGTGTAGTGACTGGACATGCTTTCGGTGCTACGTACGGCCCATATGGGAACATCGTGCACTATGTTGGGGTCTCAGCAAGTTCCTCAAAGAACAGAGGTGAATGTTTTCTTTATTTTTTACATTTTGATAAAGTAAAGCCTTAAAATGGCAATAATGAAGGAAGGCAATAGATTTTGGACTTTGTTTTGTGAGTACTCTACCGGGATTTTGTGACATGCATGTACATAATGTAATCTTTTTATGTATAGATAGCAGACAGGAAGACAAAAGATTCTAAACTGCATGACACACACTCTCACTAAAAAGTCACAAAACTATTCAGCAACTTTATTGGCCTGCATAAAATAAAAATATTTTGATTACATGTTTTTAGCAAAGCTGAGAACACGATACCAGCAGACGTGGCAGAGAAATGTCCAGGTTTCAACCTATCACTGTGCTGTCAGGGCGAGAAGCACGGACATCTTAGAGCACATCAGCCATTGAGAAGTATTGTACCTCCTGTTGCAAGAGATACACTGAAAGTGAAGAATATGCGGACTCTCATGTCACCCAGTAGTGAGATGAATATATTGCGCAACACATTAATTTTGGGCAGGCAAGCCCTGGATACTACATCGTCATCCATTACCAAGATGAGTTTAAATACGGACTGCGGTGAGGCAGATCTAAACATTCCTGCAAGTAGTACTTTCAGTCCCTTGCAGTCTGTTAGTGTTGTTACAAGACAGTCACCAAATGGTGAAGATAGTTATGTTAAAAGTCCTAACACACACTGCGTTTCAGATTCTTCAGTCAAAATATATGACTATGAGACACCATTTAAACCGGGCGTTAGCACGGCAGACTCCGTTCTGCTCGCTTGTCTGAAACAGCCACTTCTGACATTTGAAAGTTCCTTTTTCAATTATATTGGGCAAAGTAGCATACAAAACCAAACACTCCACAAAGATCAAAGCTTTCATCAGAGATCTGCTGTTCCAGTAACAGGTTGTGTCACTGATAATAACCCTTCTGATAATCTTCGTGCTTCTGCGCCATTGACATATGTTCAGGTCCCAGAATGTAAAGTAATGCCTCCTAGATCCAATTCCAGTGCAGGTCCAACAGTGAATAAAGTATGTATGAATAAATATAATAACTTTCCACCCACATTGCCCGCTTCCAACATGTCTAACGCACGACGTATTCAGCGCAGGACAGTGACGCCTGTTCCGACATGCTACATAGTTAGTAGGAACCCACACGAGGTTCCAAAAGTTGTACCCAGTTTTCACAACCCTCAATTTCCAAGTTCTGGTCATATTGAACAAACATCTCCACCTTATCAGGACACGATTTGTCTGGAAAATGTTGAAAATGTAGTCACCAAAAATGATGTTCACATCAAAGATATATCTCTTGATGATGACAATGATATCGTTGAAGTTTGCAGTAATGTTGAAGATTCAAATGATTCATTGAAAATTGGATGTGAATGGATGATGAAAGTTCTCAGAAAAACTGATCGCACATCAAGAATACTTGCATATCATGTGGATTTTCTTAAGCAAAAATTTGTATCTGAAATGGAGGGAAAAGATGCGAGTCTAAAGGGTTTAAGGCAGTTTGCTGGGAAGTTTCATCATCTGCTTGTGAAGGCATCTAAAAGGTTAAACTTAGAGAAAGAGTTTCTTATAAAGAAATTTAGTGACTGGTTGAATGCAGAAAGGGCAAAACATGAAATCACTGCCACTAAGGAAACAGGACCAAATTCTGATGCAGAAACCAGTCAGGAACCAGTAGTACTTCTTGATATGGAAATCAGCTATGAATCAGATCACGAGGATGTCTCCAGCCTCAACAGTGGAGTTAAACAAGAACTGATTGAATGTAGTGAGACACTCAGTGAAAATGGCAGTGATTCGGAAGATCCGTTCAGTGACTCTGAAGGCACAGAAAGGGGACAGTTAAATCCACTCTTGAAACCTCTTTTTTCATGCACAGTTAGGGAACTTATGAAGGATAAATTTAGCAGAAAACTCCTACTTCAGCTGCTCACAGAACATCATTCAGAAACAGCAAATACACAGAAGAGATGTGCTTTTTCTGCGAAAGGACTCTCGTTCACTAATGTTGCGACTCAGACAGATGCCCATAGAGGAGAAAAAGTTGTTGCTGAGGAAGAGGAATCTACAAGCACGCAGAACAAAGAAGTTTCTTCTACAAAAGAAATTCGATTCGTTGATGTCCCAATTCAAGCATGTGCTCCTAGCAGAGATGTCTTTACTGTTACGGACAAGGAATCTAAGATCACACAGAACAAAAGTGTTTCTACTACAGAAGAAATCCACTTCATAGATGTCTCAACTCAAACAGATACACCCACTGTTGAAGAAAAGAAATCTAAAACCAGTAAACTAAAACAAGTTAGGACTGTTAAAATGTCAGATCAGATTTCATCAAAAGTCAGCGACTTGTCATTGCATTCTGATGAATTTTCTGCAGACTCGGGTAAAAAAAATGAAAAGCGTGCGAAGACTAAGGCTGTAAAAAAATCACAAATGGACAGTTTCCATGACAGATTAGAGGACAAGACTGGGAATGAAGAAAGCGAAAATGGTCAAAATCCAGGCAAGAATAATAGCGCCGGCAATGCACAGATACCCGAGGTAGTAACAGAAACTAATAGCATTCTGATGAATGGCGATACTGCACCCATACAAAGTGGATCTGAGTCGGAAAGAAGCCGCAAGTCTCTGGCTATGAAGAGAAAATATAAATGTGCTGAATCTTATAGCGACACGTCTACTGGTATGCAGACATACCATTCTAATCCTTTGAAAGTTGTCGCGAAGAAATTACGACCAAATAACCAAACTTCCCATTTTAGTTCTTCACCTGTAATGATTCCAGAGGGGACTAAAGTGGATGGTAAAATTCCTGTTGCTAAATTTACGGCTTTAGCTTCTTCTGCTCTGCAGAAGATCCTGTTGCTAAATTTACGGCTTTAGCTAATTCTGCTCTGCGGAAGCAGCTCATTAAACCCTGTTCTGTTTCAGTTATTAAGATAAACAGAGGAGCACCATACACATGTTGAATTACACTTTTTAGCCTGTCGGAAGGAAACGACTAGCTAGGCCCGTGATACCTGTGCTTTGGTTATTTGAGCAGTTATTTAAAGTTTATTTGTTATGTTTAATGCTTTTGAAAAAAACAAACACTTGCATCAGTATTAAATATGTGTTTGGGTTGCATTTCAATTATATATGGCAGTTGTAAGTTTGTGAGTTTCTGTATTTGAGCTTGTGTGTCGTCATAGTGGGTTTGACTGCACACTGCGTTCTGTATAGTTCCCCACTACTGTCACGCATTTCTGCCAGTTGCCGCAGTAGTGCTTCATATTTACTTGGTCTCAGTCTGTTCTTTGTCCAGAATATGATTTTGTAAATGGAGAATGTTTAAAAGAGTTGACATGAATGATTTCCGTAAGGGAAAGAAAGTACAAATTACATGTATTAAAATGCTTTTTTATTTACTGTGTGTCCAATGAAGGACGAAACAGCAGTGAATGGTTCTTATTTCAGTAGAAAAGTTTGATTACCACTGTTTTATACTACAGGTCTCACTGGAAGAAGAAATATTTCACAGTCGTACTAGAATACCACTGTGAATGTGAAATATCACAAATAGAGAAACTAAAATTACAGAAATGTTGCTACAAACAAAAGGTCAACAGACTGGTGACATTGAGATTCTCTTTCTCATGGCTTTTGAGAAGAGAGTATTTGTAAACAAATACCATGGGACTTTCGTAGTCAGTATAGCCTACTTTGTTTTCATCTTCTGTCTCCTTATTAAATTTATTTTTGTTTTCAAAAGCATTGTTTTTTTCATATTTATTTATCAGTTTTCCCCATTCCCCCACCAATTTTGTTACTGACTTAATAATTTGAAGTTTGCTTCATAATTATTTTGTGGTCAGTTTCTCTTAGGAATGGAATGCTTCTATACACAAATGCAGTAACCCAATAACAATTTCTGTTTGTGATACTTATCCAGGTACAGTAGCAGGTTTATTGTAATGTAAATGTAATGGATTCCACCTTTGGTGAATTAATACTGAATTTCGGTTTTAACAGTTGTTACTTTGTGCCCGTATTTACTTATTTTACGTATGTTATTGTGGCACAGATAATTTGAATATAAACAATTTCACAGCACATATGGAATAAGAAAAGTAATTCTTAAATGTGTATTTTGTTGGTGCCCTGAAGTTCATTGATTTATTCATGTAGAAAAGGTGCGAGACATTCATTGTCACTGAATATTCTACAGGTATCATTAATTATTCATCCTTCTTCATAAATAGTGGACAGACAATTGAATGTGAAATGGAAGCATCATCATCTTCATATCTGTATTAAGCCATCACGTTTGTCACGTATTACAGCGAAATGCAAATGTAGAATAACAGTTGTAAGTCGGATTGTGAGTTGCCATGGCAAGTTTGCCTGTAGAGAACTCCAGTCAATACTTTGCCTAGTTTTATACATTTCCAGTCTTGTAACCATTCAGCTTCTTACCTTTCAGACTACCGGTATTTTAATAGCAATGAAGATAAATACAGGTAACCCTCGATTTGCGCCAGTTCAATTTGCGCTGATTCAGAATAACGCCGATTTTGAAATCAGCAAGTCAAAAAGTGAAGAAAATATATTTTACTATTATTTATACCGTTTTACAATGTATCTCATACTGATTCTTATACTAAATCGTGATTCTTACATCGCTGATTTTTAATAAAAATTATAAATACAGTCATCTCTGCAATTACGTATGTTTCGTTAACGCGAATTTGCTCCAATGAGATCGATGAATCGGTAAAAGCTGTTTGTGAAATGCAATCTTTTGCATATGCGAGTTTGCTCTTATGCAATTTCATTCCTGGCGCTTTAAACTTTCAAAGGACTAATTTAATCTCTGCGGAGGTACCGGGGTTATTTTTACTACGCGATTTTCTATAGGTCTGCGTCTTACAAGAATACAACTACCGCATAACAGCAGAGATGATTGTACACATCAATCACGTGAAAGAATCGCAGTCAATCGCGGGGACCAACGAATTGCCGATTGTAAGTGTATAAAATATATTTTTTAAATTCCCTTTATTTTATTTACGTTATTTCAGAGCTTTAAATATAATGTCATTGTATTACTCGTCAATGTTTGGGTGCTGGGAACGCATGTCATTGACTTCCCATTGATTTGCATTATAAGAGAGTTTCAATTTACGCCGGTTCGTCCAGGAACGCATCTCGGGCGTAAATCGAGGGCTACCTGTATATTGTTAGAATGCTGTATGTTAGAATGCTGACAGTGTATATCCCTATTAATTGAAAACTAACAAAACTGTTACCAATGATGTATAAGAAGCCATTGTTGATGTATTTTTCTACAGTAAAATTTGGCAATTTAAGATATCTAAGTAATTTTCACTGAGGCATTATATTGCCTTTTGCTTAGTCCTCCAGTTCTCATGCCATGATTATATTGGTGACAGGAATATCAAAATCTGAACTCTGTTCACACATCTATCTAATCTGCTGCACATTGGTATTGTATTTTAATGGCTTGTGCTGTTACATCTATTGTGAAATAACCGAAGGCAATCAGTTGTAGAAGGAAGGAAATGTGTGAGAAACAAATCTGATAACTATTCTCCAGTTTCTTTGCAACCCACATGTACATGATTTTTCCTCTGTAATCGCCTCTCTCATCCCTTGTCTGACCAAGGTCATTACTATGTTTTTCATCTGACTTGTATCTCTGGGGCTTTCAACAGCAGTATATATATCTATTTTTTTCTGTATATCATTGTTGTTTTTAATATGATACTAAATTAAAATTACCAGGGAGCAGCATAAGCTCAAAACCACTTTTAATTATTGAATATACTTCATTTGCACAAATTTCAACCTGAAGTATTTTTCTCAAGATTTGCAACTTCTGTCAGATTTGAGTGTCGTGGATTTAGCTAGTAACATTTTTGAATTTTGTGTGTTGATAAAATCTCAGTGTGGTGCAAAGACTGTTAGTTATTTTTAGTTACAACGAAGTTTTAAATTTTAAAGCACAAATGTGATATGTTTATAAATGTTTAGTATTTAATGATGTTCATGTTTTGGATTCAAGTGTAAAGTTTTAATATTCCCACACATTTTGATAACAGAGGGCTGAAAATCATTTTTGATTTACTAAAATTTGTTTGACATTATAGAGGTTATGTACAAACAGATTTATCATAGCAGTTAAAACATTGATTGTGGTCTTCTGAATTATGATGCTGTCTAGTCCTGTAGGTGATTACCAACTTTTGAAGGAACAAATTACCTCCTTCTTCAGGTGATACATTCCTCTGAAGCATTGATATTTGCAAGAATACATGGCATCACGACCCATAAGACCAAAATTGACATCTGTGTCACTTAGAATAGTTAATGATTTAAACAGTTTTTATGATCCATGTAAAATTTTGTTGTGACAAAAAGGGATGTAGCAATGATTAACATGAATTTTTATAATATGCATGCAATATTGTATATAGGTATAGCTCAGTGAATAGTAGTAAAGACAAACATAGACTTTAATACAGTTTGTGAATACAGATAGTTGCTGTGATTTTAATCTCACAGTTCAGGTTAGTTTTATTTTGGTGCTTCATTTGATAAGGTCCAAAATTAACATATGCTTACATAAACTTAATATGTCTTGGTGCCCTCTAAAATACCAAGCTATGGCATTTTATGTACACCATATAGGGTAGAAGTATTTTAAAATAAAACATGAGATTCTCGTTTCTAAAGTCTAGAATGTTTGACTTGTAATGCACCGTGTGTATAAACTTATTATATATACAAAATGTGTAACCTAGATTTAATATAACTGTCTTCTTTAAGATATTATGTGTAAGACCCAGTATAAATTATTTTTTGTCCACTTTTTACATTTCTGTAGAATGTGTTATAAATGTTCTGTACTAACAAATTTTCTTCTATACAACTAATTGCAATTCATAAATGTATTTCCATTATCTTCTATTTAAAGAGCATCACTGACCAATATTATGCAATGTTAATCAATGCAACTAAGTAAAAGTAAAATGCATGCTTATGGTTGCTTATCAACCAGACCAGAAATGGATGACACTGGATGGAAGGATTTTATAGAGAATGTAACTTAAAGGTCTGGCAGAAATGCAACATATCAAAACAAAAAAGTAAATATGAACATGGGTCTAGAAGAAATCTCCTTTGTGAGCCACAGCTCAATTTTTCTTAGTTAACAGCATCCAGATTCCATCTCTGCCCTATAAATATAAATTTTATTGATGGTATCTAATTGCAACATTAATTTAAAAGTCCAATAAATATTGTTTAAACAGTGTAGCTGTATCAGCATTGAAAATCAAATCAGTTCATTCCCATTTGAAAATTGATGCATATTCAAGTCACGAATTCGTAGGTGTGCATCTTTTTCATGTACATGTAAATGGCAACTACTGAAGGCTGGAGTACATAGAGAACAGTTTGAGCAATTGCTATGAAATTTCTGTTCCAAATGCAGAGTGGCAGCAACAAAAGTAGACACCATATTCAAAATTTAAGAAGTTAATAAAAGGAGGCCATTCCAGACCCATCTTCAAAGAACATTTTTTATATTATTTTGGTGTGTGTGCATGCATTTGTGTCAGACTGAAGTTACACTCTTTATAAGAATTAATGAACTCTCGAATAGTTTTTTTTTAAGATAAAATAATTGTAGTTGTATGTAACAGACTGACCACATTCTGTGTAAATGCACCATTGTGCTTCATTTGAACAATGAAAGAAATCACACAATCACTCACTGTCACCATCACAGTAATCTAGATGTTTACTTAAAATTAAACTACCGCAAATATAAAATGTTTATTATTGGTGACTACTTCATCGCAAAATTTCAATATAATCATCTTCCATTTTACGTAAATTAGTAGTTTTTCTTTACCACCAACAAATAAGACAGTTTTATCTCTGATTATCATCAGCACAGTTAAAATGTCTGTACACTCGCACAGATTCACAGAATAAACAGCAGCAGAACACATACCAGAAACATAACTTGTTGTCACATCCCAGTTCTTATTAATATTTGCCCTGTTACCATGTTTTGTTCCTCTTTCAGTACCTGTATGACCAAAACTGATCATTCTGCTTCTTAGTTCCTGCTGTAACGAGAAATATAAAAGTAACTGCCCTTCAACATTTTGAGGATGTATGGAAAACTGGTTTCAGGTAGCTGCAAGTTTAAAAACAGAACTTAATATACCTTTGTCAAAGAAAGATCATGTTAAAGATTAAAAAAGTAATATAAATTGTTATGACTCTGTGCATACAGAACTGTCTCAAAACAGTTTTACTTTCGAAGGTAACAGCCTTCTGGGATATTGCACAATGCAGTCTCACAGAAGTTGACCGATGTTTCAGAGGTCTGTACTGTCTCCATCATCAGGTTCCTGATAATGGAGGCAGTACACATCTCAGTCATCTTTGTATTCACCACCACGAGAATATGAAATTTCACTTGGTTTTATCTTTCATGATTTCTCATTTACAATTCAGTACTGACATCGGCATGTTTACAGTCTGATGTTTTCTACAGAAGTCTTAATATCGGTGCTGAGTCTTCTGGCCGTCAGTTCCCGCATTATGGTACACTCGTAGAGGTGTGTATGTCCCATTAGTTGTCGGTTCAGATGGCGCTCCAGGACGGGATGCAGAACCCCTTGTACTTCTAGGTGAAAGGCAGTGAGGCTTGAAACAGCAGTGATAAACAACGAAGTAAGTCGTTGCTACCACGGCTGCTGCCACTGCTCCAGCTTGGTACAAGTACGTAAGTGAACCGGCACCTGATACAAAAAAATAAAATAGGAATGTTATGCTGTATTCTGTGACTTGCAACACAGAATTTTAGCTTTGCTTCTGTCATCTATGTATTTACTGCAACTGGGTCAAATTTAAAAACATTAACCAATCACCTACGAAGTAACTGTAATTACCACTTATATAAATATAATTGCTTTTCTTTGTACAAAATGAACCTGGTTTCAGAGTTGAAATGCTGTCAGATATTAGAAAGGAAAAACCGATAAAGAGACTTCAAATGTTTCCTGTTCTTACCA